TAACAGGTAAAAACTACCGCAACGACGGATTCCAGTATAAGAGTCACATGGCTCTCACGCGTATTGCGAATGACGCTAGAGACTACAGTTATCCAGCTATGTAGTGGTTTAATGTGTTATAACTTCAATATTTGTTTTCTCAGAAACTACTCGTATAAGGATTTTACAAACTTTTTTTTTACAATATTGACTCCATTTCTCATGCCGCATCTATTCTCAAATTTTTTTGGATAAGTTGTGAATCACCCTGTATAGCCTGTATATTTTCATAAAAATTTGAACGATTTCGTTAGTAGTTATTTAATACAGTTCTGTGTATATTTTAACAAAATAGAAAGTAATTTCAGAAAATTTTAGTAAAGAGTCAATACTCTAAGCACCATTTTTTATAAATGATTGACACAAATTGTATTTCTGTACTCTAAAGATAACANAAACTTTCTTCACTGTAGCTATCCCGAGTACTTACTCTAAACCGAGGGTAGGTTTCACGTGGAGTTTCCCCCACGTAAGAGATTGGGAAACTGGCGCCCGAGACAAAAATCGAACAAAAAGATTCAATCCGGAGTACGTTCCTGTGACGTCACTCACCACCGCCGGTTGCCAACCACCGCTGCCGATAAACTAGTGGTCAAGGGTCGTCATAAAATTAGACGTCCAAATAGGGACGTCAGTGACGTCAATAAATCTAGTAAATTAGAATTCGCAATTGTGAATTAAGATTCCGTTTAGAGTTGGTAGTATACCGGGGGCAGCCACAAGTAACGTCTGAACCGAACCGTCACCACCGCAAAATTAAAACCAAGTAAAGTATATAAAGTGTGTTACAAGAATTTGGCAACCGAGTAAAGTACGTTACAACGGTAAGAGATACGAAGTAGGGGGCAAAGTTGCATAATCAGGGAACCAACATTATGCCTCTAAAAAATAAAAGGCTAACATGATTGAAATTTTGGAAATCTTTTTTTGTTTCATTTCAGCCTTGTTTGAGGTGATTTTGAAATAACAAGAACACTTTCTCATTGCTTTTTTCCCTCTATCAAATGGCATAGTCTATTTTTATATGTAACGTTTCGTCTCTCCAGGACCATCATCAAATTCATTTTTTTTAAATACGACCCTGAAAATTTTATTACATTTTTTTCAGATTCCAAACCAGATCATCTGAACCAGATTCAGACGTTTTGTCTCGAAAAATTCATCTTCAGTGTATTCATTCCAAATTTATCTAAATTTTGTATTTAGATTTCTATGTTTATTGAATTATCGTACACTCTAAGTGTCGTTAGACCATGTGAAATCCACCTAGTTATTTAAACTACATATTACCATCACACGTTACAATAAAATATTTTTAGAGTCTAGGGTGATTGTGGCAAGTGTATCTTTAATCCTTTCCTTCATATCATCGCAAGTAGTAAGTTGAACACTGTGTACAAGATTTTTTATATAGCCCGAAACAGAGAAGTCCATTACGTTGAAGTCTGGATACCTAGGGGACCATTGACATGCACCATTCTTACTTATCCATTTATTGGTAAATTTTCTATGTAAATAGTTCTCACTGAATATGAAAAATTTGAAGGTGCGCCATTTAATTGCATCCTCATTATTCTCCTTATATTTAAAGAGGCGTCATCAAGAAGAACCCAAATCAATTCAATAAAGACCTCGATGAAGACACGACACGGATACATCTTACCAAAAAATTCGATAAAAAACGAAACGGCACAAATATCTCCAATGCCGTTAGAAACATACTTTTAAGGAGTTTTAAATTTCCTAACTCATAAAGTAAAAATGTACTGTGTGTTCCAATTAAAACAACCAAGTTATTGCTGTTTAAAGTTGAGAAAAATATTAAGCAGTTTTTTGAACACCCTGTATAATATTAAGTGACGTCAAGGATCTAAAATACACTTTCCAAAGCTGCTTCCTTAAAATTATTTTTTTAATGATAATATTAAAATTCTATGCTAAGCCTGCATTTTCACTAACAAGTTCTAGGTATGCAGAACCTTTAATAAAGTTCATTTATTTTTTACGGTGCTTTCAAAAATGCAGTAAAATACAGGGTAATCCGTAACGTTGATATGGTAGATACACTTTTCCTGGACACCCAGCATATTTCAAAATATTTTTAATATGTAGTCAGAATCAATCTACACATACCCACCTAAACAGATTTCTATAACATTTGCCGTTTAGTGCCTAGGACCCGAGGTGTTACTGGTGCCCCACCCTGTATAAACATATATGAACGTCACATTTATTTCCCCTCCCCTCTTGAAACAACTTTCAAAAACATTTGTCTGTTCAAAATATGGCGCTGTCTATGGCGTCATATTGGAGTGAAGTGAAAAATCACAAATAATGATATTACGAAAATTTTCGTAATATTATTAAAGATAGGGTGCCCAGTCTTTTAGAAATAGTTAAAAATACAGTGGAATTCCACAATAGGCCCATTCAGTGATATATAATTTTAAACTTTTTCTTTCATTTTGTGATAGTATTTAACCACCTAAATATATCTTAAAAAAATTAGGTCAATAGGATTAATAATAAGTGATATATTTAATTCTGAATTTGTAAGACCCTTAAAAAGGTCAACACTGCGAGAGAACAGGTAATGACGTCACGATACCGGCCACTCGCCAGCAGTCGGAGAGATAAATCTCATTTTATACGGCTTCTAAGAAAGAGACGACAGTCTGTTTTCGGCTGCCTCGTCTAAACTGATGTGTAGATATTTGCTATACTTTTACCTATATTATATATCTATATTTTTAAGTGTATAAATAGAAAGTGTATAAGAGATATACATCAAGTCTTGTTGAAATGCATTTTTCACACAACATATTTATTATAAACATAGAATGTCTTGGAATATCTAAATACATTTTCGGATTTTTCTCAATGACGTAATTTTGCCTTCCATTTTGTGTACAAATGTACCCAACGTACTAGACTCGGTACTTGTGGATGTATGCGACGACGTGTATGTGCGAGCAACTCAGAACCACCCTCGTTTTTCTTTGATTGCCCGTCTATATTATTATTTAAATAAATTACTTATAGGTGCCTCTCGCAACGTATTTCGAAATTTTTGTGGACGGGAACGTTTAGATGGGGTAGAATTTATTTTTTCGACATAAATTTGAAAATTCTGCTCTAAATGTTTAAATAATAATATTTATAACCTCTTAGACGGGCAACCAAAGAAAAACGAGGGTGGTTCTGAGTTGCTTATAGGTCCCTCTCGCCGACGTATTTCGAAATTTTTGTGAACGGGTACGTTTAGATGGGGCAGAAATTTTTTCCAGCATAAATTTTATAATTCTGCTCTAAATGTTCAAATAATAATATTTAAAACCCTCTAGATGGAAAACCAAAGAAAAACTAGAGTGGTTCTTAACTGCTTATAGGTCCCTGTCGCCGTCGTATTTCGAATTTTTTGTGAACACGAACATTTAGATGGGGCAGAATTTATTTCCGGCATAAAGTTGAGAATTGTGCTCTAAATGTTCAAATAATAATATTTTACAACCCCCTAGACGTGCATCCAAAGAAAAACGAAGGTGGTTTTGAGTTGCATACCGTGGCTGGGGAAACCGTGGATAACATCACACAAACTTTTCATTTTTCGGTAATGAAATAAATATTTTATTCGGAGTCGATCCTGAGGTACTTTTGCAGCCTGGAACTATACAATATTTGTACAATCCTCGGTTTCGACCCATTTAGACATAAAAACAATAATTAACGACACCGTATGTATTAACACAGAATGGGATGAGAGCGAGCGCGAGCGGAGTGCTCTGCCAGTCGCCCGTACCCGTATTATAACGTCAGGCAATGGTTGCTCAACGTTTTTCCGCGCCCTGTTTTCATTAATTTATTTCACACATTTCTCGTTGAAACAAAAAATTGATTTTTGCCATACTAACCAATAAAAGGGTAAACTTCTGGAATATGCAAAAAAATTCTACTGAATGGGCCTATTTTTAACTAATATTGAGCATAGAAACCCTGAACCTACAACCTATGTCCAGTTTATAATAACAAATAAAGTATAGGTTAAATTGGATACCTTCGTTGTCATTTTTGAAAACCTGAATACCGCGATTTCAAGAGCCTGAAAAGTGAAACCTAAACTGTAAATTTTTCTTCCTAAAGTCATCAAATCACTAACATTCTCCAATTTCTTCAACTTAAGTATTACATAATCTAGGTATTCAGGTTTAACTTAACTGCTTGTAATAATCATCAAGAGCGGTAATGAATCCCGATGTGCTTTTTTGATCGTTTCCTCAAATTTTTTGACATGCCCTGCGGCTAGGTTTTAGGTTTAGATTTTCTAAGTTCAATATTACTCGATGAATCTCAACTACTAGAAAATAACATTAACTGTTTTCAATCGAACCGAATCAGATTGTTTTGTTCTACACTTGCTCGAGATTTTCAAAAACATGTAGTTTAGGTTTTAAGTTTGTGCGATCGTGGTATTCAGGTTTCATGGTTTATAATCTCTCTATAGTTACCAAAAATGATAACCAAATATTTTCAATGGACTCAGTACTTATCTAAACGTGATCATAATTTTTTTAATTTTATGTACTCAGGTTTGAGGTACAGGGGTTCTAGGTTCAATATTAGTTAATAATTGTGGAGCGCGATTGATAAATTTTAGAACAATTATGACATTCGATCTTGCCGAATATATTGATATTATGAAAATTAAAAGTGATTTTTCACTCCCCTTTGCTCCCAATTGGCACCATACACGTCATAACATTGGATTTCCAAAATATTCCAGTACACATTAAAATATAAATGACTTACGGAAGGTTTTGAGCCGTCAATCGTCTTTGCACGTGGTTTCAATTTTTGGGTAGAGGTAAATTGTAACGGACACAATATATTTTACATTTACATTATTTATTATTAATACAATAATTCAATTAAAATAAACGAAAAAGCTTGTAAATACTCCTAATTTAAATAAAGAATAGAAAATCATAAAATGAGGAATTCATTTGTACATTATTGTGAAACTTTTCAGATGATTCCACTCCTCAAATGTACATACGAGTTATGTACATACGTTAAAGACTCATTATGTTTCTTATATGTTTACCTATGGTTGTTAATCAGGCTCTCAGATCCTTCTGTGTCATTGACTCCCCAGTGGAAGTGTAGCTGAGTAAATTTATAATTTTCTCTTAATGGTCCTCCGTTTATTACTGGTAATTTTCCTTTGGATATTGAGAGAACAACTGCAAATAATTTAGGATAGGTCAGTTGATAAATAAAAGAAATCAATGTTAGAAATAATTAGGTAGTGATCAGAAAATTACAAAATTATGTTATGGTTCCTGACACGTATGGCTGATTACGTTTACAATTTTGATAAAACCGATGTTCACTATATTTGTATTGGTAATGAAAGACCCTTTTTTATTAGTGGACTGTATTTTGTATTAAATCAGATATAAACAACTTGTGAAGTAATCTGACAGGCTTGCAGGAGCCGCAGTTCGTAGGTCCTTTTTTATTGTGATCGGACTCGAAAATATGTATTGCTGTCAATATGACAGTAAACAACCTACTCACAAAAAACACGAAAAATAAAGCTGCTATGTCTTGACCATTAGACGTTGAGCCAAGTAGTCAAAAATGGACGGTTTGGTTTCCTTTCTGGGGAGTAAATATAACCTAGGTACTAATTCAGATACGTCATGAAGGCAGCATGAATGTTTGTGATGATACTTTGTAAAATTTGGTAGCTTAGTGGAGTTACGACCTCACAAAGATGGCCGCCGGGCGAAAGTCGTAGTTTACCATTCTAAAGTCTGGTTTCATTGGAGTAAGGAGTAAAAGTATCATAAAAATTTTGATTTAGCTTTAGCATAAAGCCTGGATCAATGTTTGGGATGATACTGTGTAAAAATCGGTAGCATAGTTCCGTTACGACGTCACAAATATGGCCGTCAGGCAAAAATCGTGATATACCATTCTAAGGTCAGGTTTTACTTGTAAGGAGTAAAAGTATCATACAAATGTCAATCCAACATAAAGCCAGGATCAATGTTTGGGATGATACTTTGTAAAATTCAGTAGCTTAGTGACGTTATGACGTCATAAACATGGTTGCCGGCCAAATTCCGTTTAGGTGTATTGGCAAAAATTATAATAATACAATATTACTTATTATAATAATTTAGTAATATAATAATGATATAATATAATAATCAATTTGTACAATACTAATACCAGTCTTGTTATTCCAATTTGCCTATATTTAATTTTTCTCTTTTTTTTTTTCATATATGGATTCCGAAGCAGACTTTTCACCATTGCCTAAAAAAGTAAAAATAACAGGTACAACCGATGAATGTATAATTCACTGTACCAGCGACAACAGCAGTTTGGTGACTCTATCATCTACCAAATCATGGAAAACTCTCTTGAACGCAGCGACAATAAAGAAACACAAAAGATTGCTGGAAATTGCAAAGTCAGTTACCAGAGAAGAATTTCCTACATTAAAGTACCACCGTCACTGTACCACTTCCGGTAGCATGAAAAGTGGTACTTCGCTTCTGCTGAGACGAAATACATAGTCTCACCTAACCCAAGAATTCTGCTGTCATTTTTTGATATAGCAGAGGCTTTGATCGTGCCACTGGATCTCAATACTACACATTGCACTAGTTCCTCACGTGTTCTACTTCCTGGCTTGTACTTCTGTTACTTCTCACAAAAAATGCAGATGAATGGTATAATGAGTCCTTACACAACCGCACTTTGGAAGATACTGATGGTTTATCCGGTAATGTTGCGTGCTGCTTAGCCGTAATACTAGCGAGTTTAGATTTCATGGCGAAGATGCTTGGACATTGACGGTAGTATTTTAATGCAGAAAATTCTTCTAACTGATTTTGCAATTTCCAGCAATCTTTTGTGTTTCCTTATTGTCGCTGCGTTCAAGAGAGTTTTCCATGACTCGGTAGATGATAGAGTCACCAAACTGCTATTGTCGCTGGTGCAGTGAATGATACATTCATCGGTTGTACCTGTTATTTTTACTTTTTTAGGCAATGGTGAAAAGTCTGCTTCGGAATCCATATATGAAAAAAAAAGAGAAAAATTAAATATAGGCAAATTGGAATAACAAGACTGGTATTAGTATTGTACAAATTGATTATTATATTATATCATTATTATATTACTAAATTATTATAATTTTTGCCAATACACCTAAACGGAATTTGGTCGGCGACCAGGTTTGTGACGTCATAACGTCACTAAGCTACTGAATTTTACAAAGTATCATTTTAAACATTGATCCTGGCTTTATGTTGGATTGACATTTGTATGATACTCCTTACAAGTAAAACCTGACCTGAGAATGGTATGCTACGATTTTCGCACCACGGCCATATTAGTGACGTCGTAACAACTATGCTACCGACTTTTACAGAGTATCATCCCAAACATTGATCCAGGCTTTATGCTAAATCAAAATTTGTATGATACTTTTACTCCTTACAAATGAAACTAGACTTTAGAATGGTAAACTACGATTTTCGCGCGGCGGCCATCTTTGTGAAGTCGTAACGCCACTAAGCTACCGAATTTTACAAAGTATCATTCCAAACATTCATGCTGCTTTCATGACGAATCTAAATTGGTAGGCTACATTTACTCCCGCGGAAGGACACCGCACATGCTCTGTGGCTCAACGTCTACATACCGCCAGCCTTGAAAGCATTTCAACACACTTGTATACATAAACCCATGAACAACAATCCAGTAAAAATATAGAGATACAAAGAATGTACTAAACATATCAGCAAAATATGAACTCAATTTTTAATCATTAGAGTCATCAAAAGGCAGTTCACATAACTGAGTCACGGCTCTTTTGAACACACCTTTAGCAGTTTTCACTGATACAACGCGGCACGTATTGTCACTTCCAGAATGTAACTCTATCACTCTAGCTAACTGCCACTTAAGTGGTGGTAAATTTTCGTCTTTGATCACTACCATAGCACCAACTTTGATCGGCTCTTTTGAAGTGCGCCACTTGCTGCGCTGCTGCAGTTGACTTAAGTACTCCTTAGACCATTTTGTCCAAAAATCTTGCACCATTTGAGTCATTAGATGAAACCGTTTTATTTTGTTTGGATTATAGGATTTTAGGTCTTCTTGGGGTAAAGCGCATAAAGACGTACCAATTAGAAAATGACCGGGAGTAATAATGTTCAAATCGTCAGGATCCTCAGTTACGGGAGTAAGAGGACGCGAATTTAAATATGATTCAACCTGGGCCACGACAGTATTAAACTCTTCAAACGTCAATCGACGATTACCAATAACTCTCTTTATGTGATACTTTGCAGATTTCACTGCAGATTCCCACAAACCGCCAAAGTGCGGTGACCTTGGTGGAATGAAATGCCATGTAATGGAGGCCTGCGAAAAATATTCCGAAAAAGCACGTTGATTGTCCGTGTCGCGTAAGAATTGATATACATATTTAAGCTCTTTATCTGCGCCTACAAAATTCGTTGCATTGTCTGAGTAAACATTTTTGCAGACACCTCGTCTAGCCACGAATCTTTTAAAACAACTTAAAAAGGATTCTGTAGTCAAATCTCCCACCAATTCTAAATGCACCGCATGTGTAGAAAAACATACGAATAAACAGAGATAACCTTTAACACTAGTATGCCTCTTAATCTTACTAATTTTTAACTCAAATGGACCCGCATAGTCTACTCCTACATTTGTAAAAGGTCTACTTGGTGTAACGCGATGTCGCGGTAAATACCCCATAAGGTGTGTTAAATCCCGAGGACGTACTCGAAAACATACTATGCAATTTCTCAGAAAACCTCGTATGGTTCTACGACCTCCTATAGGCCAGTATTTTAATCGAATATGTGCGAGTAAGGCTTGCGGTCCAGTATGTAAAAACTTATAGACTATAAGTTATAGTGATAATGCATTACAATGAGTTTTGTCAATTTATGTTTACTTGGCAATATAATCGGATGCATTTGATCATACTCCAAATCTGACTTACCTAGTCTACCACCCACGCGAAGAATACCCTGATTGTCTAAAAAAGGATTTAACGACAAGATTTTGCTTGTTTTAGCTATAGGCTTCGATTTCTGCAAAGTTTTAATTTCCGATACGAAAACCTCTAACTGAGCTAATTTAACTAATAAGTTACTAGAGTTTTGCAAATCATCCAATGTCAATTCTAGATTTCTGTTGCCCTTATTAATCTTTAGCCAACGTAAAATATACACTACTACCCTCTGTAACCTGCAAAAACTAGAATATCTTTCAAATAAGTCAACTGTAATTTTATTTACAAATGACTGCACTACCGTTTTTCGCTCCGGAACAGTTTCTACCCTGTTAATATTTGATTGAAGCCAAGAACCTTCGCTTTTAATGAGCCAATCAGGTCCTTGCCACCAAAGCCGACAGCTATGTAATTGCTCCCAATCCAAGCCACGCGATATAATATCAGCTGCATTACTCTCCGATCTAACATGCTTCCACAGCGACTCCTTTGTTAACCTCTGTATTTCTGCTACCCTATTTCCTACAAAAGTAGGCCATTGTACGGGTTCCCCTGAAAAACCAACACAGAACTACGGATGAGTCGCACCAATACGTAATGCTGCTATAATTTATATTTAATGCCTCAATGACTACTTGCGCTAACCTTGCCAATAGAAGAGCACCACAAAGCTCGAGTCTTGGAAGTGATATGACCTTCAAAGGAGCAACACGAGACTTTGCACATAAAAGATTGACATGATGGTTTCCCTCCTTATCTGTTGATCGAATGTAAATGGCAGCACCATAGCATACCTGTGAAGCGTCACAGAAACAATGTATCTGTACGTCGATAGGTGCAGCACATAGCACCTGTCTGGGAATGTCCAGCAAATCCAATTTTTGTATTTGAACCTGAAAATTATTCCAAGAATGCAAAATGTCCGATGGTACTTCGTCATCCCAGCCTAAATCTAACTTCCATAACCCCTGCAACATCAATTTGACCTTGACTATCACTGGACCTACTAACCCTAATGGATCAAATATCTGCGAGATCATGGAAAGTATGGACCTTTTCGTCATCTTGTTTGAAATTGAATCATTTTAAGGCTAACCTGAAAGTGTAAAGAATCTTTTCGAGAATCCCATAACAAACCTAAAACCTTTGAAATTCCATCGTCATTAGAAA